AGTATTTGATTTGCCAAAACAAGTCTTTTCTAGAAACAATTAAAGTTAAGTTGTGCCTTTTTGGAAGAAAAAATCTCGGGGGGTCCCAGTGTTATTATAGAAAAAAATTAAAGAATCTCGGAAGCCCGTGATGTCTTGTTTAAAACAAAGTATAAAGAATCTGGAGGGGTCCGGGTCTAAAAAATATTCAAGAACTTCTGAAGTCGCGCTTTTAGAAAAATTTTCAAAAAATCTCGTGGCCTTCTTGATGTTTCTTTTAAGTATAAGTTTGAAAGAATCTGCTGGTGTTTTCTTTTGGAAAAAAATAGAATTTCAGGAGTCCTTGATGTTTTTTTAAGAATCTTGGGGGTCGTTATATTCTTTAGAAAAAAAAGGATCGGGGAACCCTTGGAGTTTTTTGGAGAAAAAAATTAAGAATATCGCCCCCTTGTGTCTTTTTAGAAAAAAAATCTCGGAGGGCCATGGTGTCTCATTTAAAACAAAATATAAAGAATCTCGGGTGGCACTGGTCTTAAAAAAAATCAAAAAACTCTCGGAGTCCTGCTGTCTGATTTAAGAAGTTTTAAAGAATCTCCCTGGTGTTTTGTTCTGAATAAAAATAAGAATTTTGGGAGTCCTTGGTATATTTTAAGAATCTTGGGTGCCCTTGTATTTTTCAGAAAAAAATTCAAAATTCTAGGGAGCTTTAAAAAAAAAAAAAGAATCTGGGGAACACTTGGAATGTTTTGGAGAAAAAGTTAAGGATATCTCTCCCTTGTGCCTTTTTAGAAAAAGCCGTTATGTCTCGTTTTAAAAAAAGTTAAAACAAATGTCTTCTTAAAAAAAGAATATCATGGGTGCCCGATATATTTTAGAAAAAAATGCAAAAATATCTTGAAATAATATATGCATATACATATACACGATGATCAAAAAGTGATGTATTTATTAATTCCATGGTACGTTGTTACGCAGGCTCTGAAAAATTCCAAAAAAAGTGGTTAACAAAAACCTGAACAAAATTTTTGAAAATATTAAACTTCAAAGCTGAAGAATTAACTTCTTAATTCAGTTATGTTTCAATGTGCAATTAGTTGACAGTCGAAAATTTCAATAACAATAGTCAAAAATGACATCTATCAACAGTAAAAAATGACGTGACCTCTGGTGTCCATTTTTGAAAAAAAAGTTAGAATCTAGGGCCTATGATGTCTCTTCTAGAAACAATTAGAAAAATCTCGAGAACCCCTGTGTTTCATTTCAGACAAAAATTTAAAGAGTGTCGGGGGTTCCTGGTGTCTTGTTTAAAAAAAGGTATAAAAAATCTCCGGAGGCCCTGGTCTTAAAAAAAAATATTAAAAAAACTCCAGGACTCCTGCTGTCTCGTTTAAGAAAATGTTTTAAAGAATCTACTTGATATTTTGTTTAAAAAAAAAATAAGAATTTCCGAAGTCCTTTTTTTTAAATCTTGGAGCCCCTCATATTAAAAAAAAATCAAAAATCAAGGTAGCCCTAAAAAAAGAATTCGGGGAAACCCTTGGAAGAGTCACTGATATACTTTAGAAAAAAATCAAAAATATCGGAGGCCGCTGCCTTCTTATAACAATATACATATAGATATACAGGGTGATGAAACGATTATGTATTTATTAGCTCCACGGTACATTGTTAAGAGAGCTCTGAAGAATTCTAAAAAAAATTTGTTAAAAAGATCCCTCAACAAAATTTTTGAAAATACTAAACTTCAAAGCTGAAGAATTAACTTCTTAATTCAGATTTGTTTCAATGTGAATTTAGTTGACAGTTTAAAATTACAATAACAATAGTCAAAAATGACTGAATGAATTATTATTAAATTATTAATAACTAATTATTTAACTGTCCATTAGACAGTATTAAAACAAATCAGAATTACGAAGTTGATTTGTCAAGTTTATTCATTTCAAAAGTTTGGTGCAGGCATTTTTTTTAACCATTTTTTCGAGTTCTTCATCGAGCTTATAAGTCACTTTTCACCACAACTTATATAAATCTTGAGAGCCCCTAGTATGCCTTTTTGAAAAAAAAAAGGATTTTGAGACCCCTGGTGACCCTTTTTTGGAAAAAACAAAAAATTAAGAATCTCGGTCCTCTCTGGTCTTTTCTAGAAAAAAAATTAAAAATCTCGGGGACCCTATGTTTCACTTCAGACAAAAATTGTGTCGAGGGTTCCTGGTGTCTTGTTTAGAAAAAGATTTAAAGAATCTCCCTGATGTTTTCTTTTGGCAAAAAAAAACAAGAATTTAGGGAATCCTTGGTGTTTTTTTAAGAATTTTGGGAGCCTTATATTTTTTTAGAAAAAAATTCAAAAATCTAGGGAGCCAGTTTTTTTTGGAAAATAGAACCTGAGGAACCTCGGAGTCTTTTGGAGAAAAAAGTTAAGAGCTCCGTTGTGTCTTTTTAGGAAAAAAAACAAACAAATAAAAAAACTCGGAGGGGTCTTATTTTAGAAAAAAAATCAAAAATCTCGGGACCCCTGTTTTATTTTAGAAAAAAATTTGAATAACGTCAGTGGTTATAAACAAAATCTCGAGGGCTTCTGGTGTCTGGTTTTAGAAAAACATTTAAAGAATTTCGAGGACCTCCTGCTGTTTTTTTAGAAAAAGTGTCAAAGAATCTCGAGGTTCTTAATGCCACACCTGACGTCGTAACAGCCCTTGATGTCCTATTTAAAAAAATATGTAAATAAAATCTTAGGGACCTCTGGTGTCTTTTTTGTAGAAAAAAATAAAAAAACCTCACAAGCATTCTTAATACTCTTTATATTATATATGTTATTATAATACTTTGAATTTGTTTTGGCTGATAACACTGTCATAATTTTTGTGTAATGTAATTTCCACCGTTAAAACTAAAAGTCAGTCCTGAAAAATATAAAAATATAGCCCTAGAATCATGCAGATGTTAGTTAAAGTTAGACAGTCGACTCGACGATATGGAGCATTGAGAACAAAAACACTGGTTCTCCTCCAGATGGCAGCAATTGTGTTTCGACCTACTTAACAAAGTCCCCCGTCATATTGTTAGATAATCGTATTGTTTTCTTAATGCAAAATTTTATAGTCCATAATACGCGATAAAATTGTATCGATTTTTGTCAACACGTTCATTATGTTGCTGAGCGATAGGAATCATCCGACAGTTCTTAGAAACAGACTTAATTTTTTTACAATCCGTGCCCATTGTTGACTGTCTTGAATAAATAAATAAGCGACTAGGATTAAGAGACCCATCTCTTATCTACCTTATCGCTTCTAAGTAGTCTCTAAATTCGTCACGTTTCGCTTGTTTAACGTCTCCGAGTCATGGTAAATATTTGTACATGAAGTAATTTTACTCCAACGGGCAATTTTTCCAAAACCAAAATCGTCAACGTGTATAGCAGAACCAATTTCATGCCATTCGATAACCCATGACGTAACCTGATCGTCGTGGCCTACTTACTCACAACCGAAACCCATTTGTTGGCATATTTCATGGAATTGGATGCGTGAATATAACTCCAGAACGACCTAATTAGCGCCTTTTGCGTCGGCGTTGTGCATAAATTGATTGATTAAGTCGAAAAAGTGTAAACAATACCGTTTATTTCCCATTCCAATTCTTACACTTTATTGGACAGACGATTATTGATCTGAATTCAACGAACACATATGTACACACATTATTAGATTTAACGACAAAACAGCCCTGGACGACGTTTTATTAATGAAATTAACACAGCATGGGAGTTTCCTAGTGTGGCCTAATTCCTCAAACGAAATTGAACATTCCGGGTTTATGGAATTAATCAAAATCGGGCAAGTGTTACGAGGAGATAAAATAACAAAGGAAGCTGGAATTGGACTAATTTGAATAAGTGTAAACACGACACAAAGTTGTAATTGTTTTCAATTAAGGCGACGAATTGGTTTCAATTGGTATTCATTGACGTTATTGATGAAAATTGAAAGTTTAAGGTTTTGTAGTGATGATGCCAACTTTCCGGGTATTCGTGGCGGTTTCCTCGTTGGGATAAACACCGGGTGATAAGAGTAGTCTGATAACCACTTTATCACTCCACTGTCAACACTGACAATTCTGGAAAACAGTGTAATTTAAAACGACACGTATTTTCATTGATCTTAAGGATTAGTGTTAAAAATTCCAGGTTCAATAGAGATCATTGAGCTTCGTGTTTCACGTGCGAAAACGTGAACAACCGTCACGCTAAACACCAATTCTTGATTCCAGACACCATTAATTTTTTGTCTAAAGTCCTTAATCAAATTCGGCGATCAGCGAATTTTGCTACTTCTATGAACAAAGAGTCAAGTATATTAAAAATAGTGTGCTGTGGTTATAATTGAAGAGAAATTACTTTGTATTGCGACACTTCCCAGTGAATGTGAACATCCTCCAGTCGTTAGAGTGCCATTCAAAAACCCAACGACCGCAGAAATGTCAATGCTCACATTTATCTTTGTGTTTCTAGTTTTACGTTTTCTGTCTGCTAGAGAAATGTTTTAAGGGTGTTGGGCCGCGAGTCTACGTCATCGTTACAAGCGTGCCCGAAGTTGACCTTGATCCGAGCAACAGATGACTTTATAAAGTTTAATTAAATAAAATTGACGTAATATCCATGAGTCACGATTATATAAATCATGAATATTGTTTCTACGGTTACGCACAAATGCACTTTTTTCAGAAATACAAACGTTATAAATTTCGTTGAAAAACCTTGCGTTCCAACTCGAATGGGTGTTTCTGCCCATTATGTAAATGTTAATGGATGCTTAAGAAGTTTGTCAAACTGCGCACTCGTCTGAAAAATGCATTCGGTGACGATGATTCATTAACACAAAAATGAAGTCACATGTATGTTTAACATTTGATGTCACACGTTTTAAACACTATTGTGGGAAAGTGAGCAGCAATTGCATTACGACATTTCGAATATAATTTGTGCTGCATCCTTGATTTTAAACATATTTTTGACTCACCTGGCCTGTAATGGTAAACAGAAAGACTAGAATTAATCTAAGTGGCCATTTGGCTTTGTAGGCTCTGTGTGACCATAATCTGTGAGCACCTGCGGTGATACCAAACCCTGAGGCGTATATCGTTAGGAATGCTGAAACGAAAATGCTCGAAAGTGCACCACTGACTATTAGTTTTCTTACCAAAAAGCGTTGTGTAAAATTTTGCTGACACAAGGCACAAGTACAGGCCATATAAGCACCCTATATGTATAAATAGTTGTACAGCGAAATCCGGCCACCGGATTTTTGGACGAAAGGAGTCTTCTTGCGAAGTTTCCTGCGTTGTTTCAGTTTTACTAAAGTTGCTGTAACGTCTTGATGGCTCGTCGGCGTTACTAAGGCCTTCTTTGGAACGGTCATTACTGTCTTCCGTCATAACTGAAACCAATTAAAAAGGTCGCTTAACTTCAAATAACTATTTTTTGCCACTTTATTGACTATTACTGAACAATAGCATCAAATCATATCGTCGCATTATAATTGACTTTTTAATCGCACAGATAAGGAAAGTAAATAACTACCGAAACATGATCGACTAAATTAGTAAAAGGAAAATTATCGCTAAATCCTTCGAATTAGGAAAATTGTTACCAACGAACGATATTCATTAGGCAAAGTACAGTTTAGTAAAAAGAATGAATATCAGAAAACGTTTTGAGCGACACCCGACACCTAAACTGAGGGTTTATCGATCACTTGCAGATAATTGTGTTTACTTTTTCTACACTAAAATGTTTTCCCTAGTTTCACGCAAGCCTTTCCCAAAATTTGATTGCTGCCACAATTTGCAACGGAAAAAATTGTATGAAAGTTTCACTTCATATGCGGGAAATTTGCACGAGTGCTGTAAGTAGGGCAATTACGCACTAGGGGCACAAAGTTAATATCGCGAAGACTGAACTGAAAATCATTTATGGTACTCGTACACTTACAAACCTGTGACGTTACAGTGAAACAGAAACTAAACGAAAAGATGTTTTCTACAAATGGCAATAACCGGATTACAACGCCGACGGTCCAGACTTTTCTATTGCTCTGACTTCCGCATATTGAATAGAACACAACATTTTATTTTGATTTTCGATGTGTAATTCACATTTGCTTAACTATAACTTGTCGAGTTCTAGGGGAAGCTCAGCATCCCCTAGCCCCCCCTAGCTACGGCCTTGTCTAGCGGGTGTGAAATATCGAGAAAATATGGAAGTACCAAATTGCCCGATGGACTCTGTCCGTCCTTAGATTATCTTCGATAAGAAAAACAACTTGAAAGTGTTTATGTTTCTACATCGGAACAATGAGTTTCCCCTCAAAACAGAGGATAAGCTACAATCGACAAAATATTCAAGACTCCTTCTTAATTTGATCAATAAAAAATATGACTGTGATGATGAATCACAAGTACTTAAAAACTCATCATATTTTGCACATTTAAATAGGATTTTTCGGCAAAACTTTGAGATGATATCATCAATTTCCTGGGCTTGATAAACAGATACGTTTTGATTAAAAATTTACAATGCTTGCAATTACTTCCAAACGTCTGCAAGATTTCAAAGTATTGAGTTTTGCAATTCGTGATTTAATCAATAAAATAAATTGACTCATTATCGGTCATTAATTTTTTTGAGACACTCTTTCTTGTTGTCGAAATAAGTCCACACATACTAAGAAAAAAAGGCAAAATGTAGCCCCGCCCACCCACCCTGTCTCAATTGTGATGGTTTTTTTATTCGTCGTGAGCCAAGAAGGCGGAACTTAACGGCAAAATTCGTATTTCCATACGAGAAATTAAAAACACGTTGTAAGTATCGTGTTGTTCAAAGAATACTATATACCTATATTAAGCAAAAAAATAAAGTCAAAGATTAGGCCCCACCCATACCCACCCCGATCTCAATTCTCAGTTGTGATGAAGTTTTCATCCGTTGTCAGACCGAGGGGCGGGGTTAATTGCAAGATCCATCTTTGTCTACAACAATTTATCATTTTAAACATATTTCAAGTTTCTTGTTCTGAAAAGGCGACTAATTTCAAAAATCATATTTCCTTACAAAAATTTTAAACGTGTTTTATGTTTCTAACAATAAAAAAATAATCACAATTGAGATGGGGTGTGTGGGTGGAGTCTATATTTTGCCTTTTCTTCTTAATATACATAGTATTCTTTGAACACGATACTCCAAAAAATATGTTTAATTTCTTGTAAGGAAATACTTAAGTATTTTGCAGTTAAGCTCCGCCCCTTTGGTTCACGGCGAATAAAAAAAATCATCACAATTGAGACAGGGCGGATGGGCGGGCTGACATTTTGTTATTTTGTTTTAATATGTGTAGACTTCTTTTCACAGCATAAAACTTAAACCATGTTTAGAATGCAAAATTTGTATAAGGAAATAACGATTTTGCAATTAGGCTCCACCCCATAATTGCAAAATCCATATTTCCTAGCAAAAACCATTTTAACCATGTTTAAGTTTCTTGTTATGAAACGATGGTTATGTATATCAAGAAAAAAAAGGGCAAAATATAAGCCCCGCCCACCCGCCCTATCTCAATTCTGATGATTTTTTTATTCGTCGTAAGCCGAAAGGCGGAGCTAAATTGTAAAATCCTTATTTTTCTACGAGAAATTACCATGTGAAATATGTTCTTAAGTAATCGTGCTGTGCAAATAAAGCTTATAATTGTATTAAATAACAGAGAAAACCAAAAGAGAAGCCCCACCTATCCTTCTCGATCTCAATCGTAATGAATTTTTCATTCGTTGTCAGACCGAGGGGCGGGGCTTAATTGCAAGATCCATCTTTGCATACAACAATTTACCATTTCAAACATATTTTAAGTTTCTTGTTCTGAAAAGACGGCTGACTACGTATATTAAGAAAAAAGGCAAAATATAAGCCCCACTCACCCGCCCTTTCTCAATTGTGATGATTCTTTTTTTATCGTCGTGAGCCAAAGGAGCGAAATTTAAATGCAAAATTCTTATTATTTCTCTACAAGATATTACCATGTTAGATTTTTTTTTAATGTCGTATTATTCAAAGAATACTATGTATATTAAAAACAAGAAGTTTTCATTTGTCGGCAGACCTAGGGGCAAAGCCTAATTTAAAAATCCATATTTCCTTACAAAAATTGTAAACGTGTTTTAAGTTTCTAACAATAAAAAAATAATCTCAATTGAGATGGGGTGTGTGGGTGGAGTTTATATTTTGCCTTTTTTTCTTAATATACATAGTATTCTTTGAACAATACGATACTCCAAAAAATATGTTTCATTTCTTGTGAGGAAACACTTAAGTATTTTGCAGTTAAACTCCGCCCCTTTGGTTCACGGCGAATAAAAAAATCATCACAATCGAGACCGGGCGGGTGGGCGGGCTGACATTTTGTCTTTTTGTTTTAATATGTGTAGACTTCTTTTCACAACACAAAACTTAAAAAATGACTAGAATGCAAAATTTGTATAAGGAAATATCCGTATTTCCTTACAAAAACCGTTTTAACCATGTTTTAAGTTTCTTGTTATGAAAAGATGGCTATATATATTTAGAAAAAAAAAAGCAAAATATAAGCCCCACCCACCCACCCTATCTCAATTGTGATGATTTTTTTTATTCATCGTAAGCCGAGGGGCGGCGCTAAATAGTAAAATCCTTATTTTTCTACGACAAATTACCATGTGAAATATGTTCCTAAGTAATCGTGTTATACAAAGAAAACTAAATGTATTAATTAAAAAAGAAAACCAATAGAGCAGCCCCACCTACCCACCCTTCCTCAATCATGATGATTTTTTTTTATCGTCGAGAGCCAAAGGAGCGGAATTTAAATGTTCTTATTATTACAAGAAATTACCATGTTAGACTTTTTTTGAGTGTCGTATTATTCAAAGAATACTAAGTATATTAAGAAAAAAATAAAACCAAATATTAAGCCCCATCCATACTTCCCCTGATCTAATTAGTAATGAAGGTTTCATTCAAAAATTTACCATTTTAAATGTGTTTTAGAAAAAAATCATCAGAATTGAGACGGAGTGGGTGGCTGGGGTGAATATTTTGCCGTTTTTTTTCATATACATGGTATTCTTTGAACAACACAATAGTCGAAAACATGTTTTTAATTTCTTGTAAAGAAATAAGTATTTTGCAGTTAAACTCCGTCCCGTTGATTCACGGCGAATGAAAAAAATCATCACAATTGAGATAGGGTGGGTGGGCGGGTTTACATTTTTCCTTTTTTGGTTTAATATGGGTAGACTTCTTTTCACAACATGAGACTTAAAACATGTTTAAAAAGAAAAATTTGTATAAGGAAATATCGATTTTGCAATTAGGCTCCGACCCATAACTGCAAAATCCGTATTTCCTTACAAAAACCGTTTTAACCATGTTTTAAGTTTTTTGTTATGAAAAGATGGCTATGTATATTAAGAAAAAAAAGGCAAAATATAAGCCCCGCCCACCCGCCCTATCGCAATTCTGATGATTTTTTTATTCGTCGTAAGCCGAGGGGCGGAGCTTAATTGTAAAATCCTTATTTTTCTACGAGAAATTACCATGTGAAATATATTCTAAAGTAACCGCGCTGTACAAAGAAAACTTATAAATGTATTAAGTAAAAGAGAAAACCAAAAGAGAAGCCCCACCTATCCTTCTCGATCTCAATCGTGATGAATTTTTCATTCGTTGTCAGACTGAGGGGCGGGGCTTAATTGCAAGATCCATCTTTGTATACAACAATTTACCAGTTTAAACATATTTTACGTTTCTTGTTCTGAAAAGACGACTGACTGCGTATATTAAGAAAAAAGGCAAAATATAAGCCCCACCCACCCACCCTTTCTCAATTGTGATGATTCTTTTTTTATCGTCGTGAGCCAAAAGAGAGGAATTTAATTGCAAAATTCTTATTATTTCTCTACAAGAAATTACCATGTTAGACTTTTTTTAATGTCGTATTATTCAAAGAATACTATGTATATTAAGAACAAGAAGTTTTCATTCGTCGGCAGACCTAGGGGCAAAACCTAATTTCAAAATCGATATTTCCTTACAAAAATTTTAAACGTGTTTTAAGTTTATAACAATAAAAAAATAATCACAATTGAGATGGGGTGTGTGGGTGGAGTTTATATTTTGCCTTTTTTTCTTAATATACATAGTATTCTTTGAACAATACGATACTCCAAAAAATATGGTTAATTGCTTGTGAGGAAATAAGCATTTTGCAGTTAAGCTCCGCCCCCTTGGTTCACGGCGAATAAAAAAATCATCACAATCGAGACAGGGCGGGTGGGCGGGCTGACATTTTGTCTTTTTGTTTTAATATGTGTAGACTTCGTTTCACAACATACAACTTAAAACATGTTT